AACTCCACCGCGCGCACGCTGCACTCCGGCTTGCGCAGGAAGGCCAGGCCCTGGCGGGGCGGGGGCGTCAGCGGCCGCTCCCCGGGGCCCTGCGCCGTGGCGGGGGCACAGGGGCCCGGCCGGCGGCCCCCGGCCCCTCACCTTGTGCGGCTCGCTGCAGCTGAAGCTGTTGCACTCCAGGAAATAGGGGGGCTCCGGGGTCACCTCGTACAGGAACACACGGGTGTCGCCCTGTGGGCAGAGCGGGGTGGGGGCAGCGGTGGGGCACAGCGGGTCCCCCGCGCCCTGGGGCGCCCGAGGCCACGCTCCGCTCTGCCCCACACATGAGGGCAGCCCCGGCCCACCTTGCCGGTGAGGAAGAGCACGCTGGTGTCCTCGTCGTAGAAGGGCAGGAGGGTGGAGGGTGCCACGTCGATGCCGAGAACGGTGAGGGGCCCGGCGGACAGGTCCTGCGCCCGGTACAGCAGGATCCTCCGCTCGCTGCGGCTGTGGGGATGGCAGCAAGCAGGGAGCTGAGCTCTGGGAGCTCCCTGCGGGACACGGGCGCCGCAGTGCCGCCCGCACCCACCTGTCGAAGCCGGACGCGAGCAGGTAGTCGCCGCCGCACACCCAGACCAGGCGGGCGCCTCGGCCGCCCTCGGGGCCGGGGCCCTCCTGCGCGGGGCAGAGGGGCTGTGTGAGGCCGTGGCGCCCAGCGGCAGCCCCGGCGCCCGCCCCTGCGCCCACCTGCTCGGGCTGGGGGCTGTGCCGCGGGTCGTACAGCCGCAGCCTGCCGTCCTTGCTCGCCGTCGCCAGCTTCTGCCCGTCGGGGCTCCAGGCCACGCTGAATATCTAGCAAGGGGCAACCCCGCCGTGACAGGACCGTGGTCCTGTGCGCTCTGTCGCACTGCTGGCCTGAGGCGCATGGCGGCACCGGGGCCCCCTCCGGCCACAGGGCAAGCGGAGGCTGTGTTGGTGCCGCTGTGCGCTCCCCGGGGAGGTTTGACCCAGGCTAGCAGGGTCCTGGGCCAGTGGTGGCCCTAGGACACCTCTTATCGCACATGGCACCTCTGGGAGGCAGCCGTGGAGGGCTGGCACGTCTGAACCCTGCCAGGTTCCCCGGTGCCAGGCAGCCCSCGGGCTCCGCGCTACCTGCTCCGTGTGTCCCTGCAGGCACAGCACGTCCTGTCCGGCGCCCAGCTCCCATATCCGCACCGTCATGTCGTAGGAGGACGAGACGAGGATGTCAGAGGCCACAGGGTGGAAGCGGATGGAGTAGATTTTCTCTGTGTGCCCTGGCAGGGAGAGCGGAGCGTGTCCTTGCCCCAGCCTGCCACCAGGCACGGGGACAGGGCCACCGCAGGGCCTGGCTTTGCCCCCGCGCTGCCCCCGCAGGAGCCCGTCCCTGTGCCGGGCAGCCCTCACCTGTGAGCACGGCCTCCGGCTGCTGCAGCGTGTCCCGCAGCCCTCCCTCGGGGATGCGCCACAGCCGGATCCTGGCGTCCTCGCCCGCTGCGGTGTGAGGCGAGCGGGGAGACACGGGGAGCGGGTGAGGAGGAGCCCAGCGCGCAGGGATGGGGCACGGCGCAGGCCGGCATCCCTGGCGGGAGCTGCACGCACCCACGGCGAGCCGCCGCGTGTCGAAGGGGTCCCAGCACAGGTCGGCCACCGCCGCGCCGTTCTGGATGGTGGGCACGGCCRTGTCGGGGAGGCGGCCTGGCCTGGAGAGCTGCGGAGGGGACAGGGTCAGGGAGGAGCCATCAGGGCGAATGGCCTGGCAGGGCACAGCCCTCGGAGAGGTGGCACAGGACATGCACAGGGATGTGGGCACAGGACACATGGGGACACAGGCACACAGACACAAGATGTGCAGGGACACGGGCACAGTACGTGCGGGAACACAGACACACACACTGGATGTGCGGGAATGCAGGTACAAGACATGCAGAGATGCGGGCACAGGACACACAGGGACGCGGGCATAGGGCGGGCAGGGATGCAGCACCTCGAGGACGGCGATCTGGCCGCCGGCGGTGAGCAGCGGGAGGGCGACGCGCTCGTGGTTGGCGCAGAAGCCGTCGCTCTCGCCCGGCGTGGTGAGGCTCAGCCCCCGGAGGTTGGTGATGTGGCTGTCGCGGTGCAGGACGGTGCCCTGCGCGTGCCGGAAGCGGGAGCTGGGGCCTGGCGGGGGCACGTGCCACATGAGCATCCCGGGCTGGGTGTCCCCCCGTGCCACCCACCTTGTCCCGTGCCCGCTCACCTAAAATGCTCTGCAGTGACTTCTGGCTGGGGCTGCTGGCGAAGCCGCTGGAGGGGCCGGTGCTGGYGGACAGCGAGGTGGCAGCGCTACCCGGCGAGGCCAGCGAGCTGGACGGCGACGAGTAGCCACTGCCCTCCTGGGGAGCAGGCAGGTGGGCAGGAGGTGCCGGGCATCCCGGTGCAGCCCGAGCCCCYGCGGCCCCAGTGCCCCATGCTCACACTCTGGTCGCTGTCGGTGGGGCAGGAGTCGGGCAGCGCGGCACTGGGTGCAGYATCATCCGGCTGCTGGGTGCCAGGCACCAGGGGCGACGTGAAGGGCTCCGTGGGTCTCCGCGCTGGGTGCAGGCTGACCCTGGCCACCTGTGGTGGGAGCGGAGCCGTGGGCAGGGGCTGCTCCTCCCTGCGGTGCCCCTGCCCAGGACCCCCGCAGGCAGCGCCCACCTGCTCGCTGTCCCCTGCCCACCAGGCCCGGGCAGTGGTGGCCGGCACGGTCCCGGCGCAGTCGGGGAAGAGATCCTCGTGAAACTCCTGGAGCGACTGCAGAGGCAGCGGGGGATGCGCGAGTGGCTGGGCACGGGTCCCCAGCACCCAGCCCACCCCATCTGCCTGGCACCCTCTGCACGGGACACAGCCTGGCCCGGCACCTTGCTCGGTTCCCACGCGGGCAGGATGGCAGCACCGGCGCCCTGGGCACCCCAAGTGCAGACGGGCCCGGGGCARCCCCCGTGCAGCCCCGAGAGCCGCTGCTGCGGCGGGGCGATGGTGCCGGTGCCGGCCGAGCTGCGCCGCGAAGCCTGTAGGTGTCAGGCGCCGCCTGGCTCTGCGCTGCCTCTTGCACCCCCGCCAGCGGCCGGCTCCAAAATCCAGCACCCAGCATCGGCCTCCGGCACCGAGCACCCAGGATTCAGCACCCAGTGCCCGCCTCCAGTGCCCAACAGGGGCACCTGACACCAGTACCAAGCACTTTGCACCCAGCATCCGGCCCCCATTACCCAACACCAGCGCCCATCTCRTGGTGTGAGCACCCACTATCACACACCCGCCGTGCTACAGGTAGCATCCTGCAGCTTGCAACGGGGTGCCCTTGCCACGGCCGGTGGGATGAGCCCCATGACACGACACCGCGGTCCCCACCCTGCCGCCAATGAGGGCCCCTCGGGGCACCCAAAGCAGGGCACAGGGCTGAGTCTCCTCAAGGGGACGTGAGCGCAGCGCACGGGGGGAGCTGCCCCATTKGGGCCGCAGCCACCGCCCCTGGGTCTCGGCTTCCCTTGGGAGCAGCAGTGGCTGACGTGGGGCTCCAGTGCCCATGGCGCCCGGCCCGGCAGTGGGCGGCAGCCGGAGCGCTGGCCGGGCCACCCGAACGTGGCCGCCCCGCGGCCTCCCCGCAGCAGCGCGTACACTCYGTGGCTTTTTTTAAACGCCACTTTTTCCACAACAGCTTCTGTTTACAGAAAAGGGTATTTTTGCTGTGGGCTGAGCCACCCCCTGCCCCCCCCCTYGCACATTTTTTTTATTTTTGGCTCTGAAGTTTGCTACAGAGCAGATGCAAACGCCAGACAGGGCCCGGGTGTGGAGCGGGGAGCCGGCCCCCCAGATCTGTGGCAGCAGGGAGCGCATCACCCCAGGGCTGTGGGGCCAGAGCTGCCCTGCGCCCCCTTACCTTGCGAGGCACCACGTAGCTGATGGGGACGAGGAAGGCGTCGGTGAGCTGCAGCACGCGGAGCACCTCGCAGGCCATGACGTCCAGCGCCAACTTGGGCACCAGCGCCAGGCCCCGCGTGCGCCCCTCGGTCACGCACTGGCTGACTGCGGGCGGCAGCGGGGTGAGCGGCGGGCACCGCGGCGCCGGCACGCGCCCGCGCCTCCCACTTACCCTGCGCCAGCGCGGGCAGCGACGGCGACGCTTCCAGGCAGTGCAGGAGGCTTTCGCCCTGCRGGGCGGCGCGGGGCTGAGCGGCGGGGCGAGCGGCCCTGCACGGCACCACACACTCCCACACGGTCCCGCGCCGCCCGCCAGCCCCTCACCTTGGCTGCCAGCAGCAGCAGGCCCGTGTCGGCGTCGTAGAGCGCGATGGCCGCCCTGCAAGGGAGGAGCCGGCTGAGCCGTGCACCTCGTCACCCCGCGCGCCTGGTCACCCCGCGCGCCCGGTCACCCCGCACGCCCAGTCGCCCCGCACGCCCAGTCGCCCCGTGCGCCCGGTCACCCCATGCGCCCGGTCACCCCGCACGCCCAGTCGCCCCGCACGTGCCTGGCCGGTCTGGCTGGCTCGGCCTGTCAGCGGTGCCGCCTCCGGTCGCCACGCTCGCCCTGGCCCCGGGCCCTGCGCTGGCACAGGGCACGGGGGCAGCGGGGGGCGGCCACGCACATCCTGGCACATGGCAAGCGCCGGCCTTGCACCCCCCCCAGCACGGGCACCCTTGGGCTGGAGCCCGGCTAATCGCTGCTTTATGTGCTCTAGAGAGGGATGGAGGAGCCATTCAGGGCTGAACAACGGGGCAACGCGTCGCTCTCCTCTGCGGCGACACTTCTGTGGTGATGCTGGTCGGGCCAGGGCACACGTGTGGCCCTGGGGTTTGACCCGSGCTGACTCTGGGGAAACGCCGAGGATGAGGATGCTGCCGGGACGCGGCTTTCCCCCGGCCCCGCGCCGTGGGGAGCCTGCGTCCCGCCCGGCTGCGGGGATGTGACCCGGCGCCCCGCTCCCGGGAACGCGGCTCACGCGGGGTCTGGGGGCGCAACGGGAGGCGCCAGGGATGGCGGGGGTAGCCCGGGGGCTGCTCCGGTGTGTGCCCGTGCACGTGCAGCCCTCGGCGCGCCCGGGCCCGCGGCGGGGACCGGGGGTCCCGGGGATCCCGGAGCTCCCGGGGGTCCCGGCGGCCCCGGGGGTCGCAGCCCCCCGGCCCGCTCCAGGTGTACGGGGGCGGAGCCAGCAGCCAGGCGGGCCCCGCCCCCTACCCCGGCCAATCGGGATGCGGCGGGAGGGAGGCCCCGCCCCGCCGCGCGCAGGCCCCGCCCCTGTGTTTAAAGCCGCCCCCCTCTCCCGGCGCCACCAGATTGAGGGAGCGACCGCCCCGGCGAGCCGCCACCACCATCATCACCATCAYCATCATCACCATCACCGCCACCGTGACCGTGATGATGCTGCAGTGACCGCCCCGGCCCGGCCCGGCCCGGCCCGGCCCGCCGGTAAGTGCGGCCGCCGCTGTCAGCGCTGCCAGCGCCGGCCCTGCAGCGCCGCGGGTCGCTCCTGCTCGGCCCGGCCGCGGTGCGGACCGGCACACGGCCGGGACCCTCCGTCCTGCCCGTCCGTCCCGCGGGGCCGGCGCGCACGTGGGGCGGGCAGGGGCTGCCCGGGCCCCCCGCCCGCAGCGGCGGCGGCTCCTGCCGGTTCGGTTCCCCCGCCGGCGCTGCCCCGCACTCCTTGCTCGGGGCCGGGCTGCTGTGGGGCTGCCTGTCCCGCACTGTCCCGCTCCGAGCAGCCCCGGCCGGCCCCGCCGTGCTGCTGGGTCCCGCAGCATCCCCGGGCCCCGCCGGCCGGGCTCCCCTGCGGGGCCGGTGCCAGCGGGGCTGGTGTCCAGGCCTGGCCGCCTGCCGAGGGATGCCGGGCGTGCGGCCGCCCACTCTGCTGCCTCCTGCCCGGGGGATGCCGGGCGCGCGGGGATGCCCGGCTGTGCCGCGATGCTGCGGGGTGCTGCGTYGCTGCCCTTTCTGCAGGGACCAGGGCCACCGCGGGGCAGTGGTCACGGCTGCGCCCGGCTGCCTCGCGGGTGGCAGGTCCAGGTGGTGCCACCAGCGCCTGCGCATCCTGCTGCCGCTCTGCAGGGATGCCCCGTGTGCAGGGGTGTTTGTGACCCCTCGTCCGACCCCCAGGTCTCTCTTCTGCCCACCGCGTGCCCCACACGGCAGGTCTGGTCCTGCTGGGCACAGCCGCAGCCCATCCCGGGGCGGGCGGCCCGTCGCGGTGGCGCTGGAGCCGGGCTGCTGCCCACGCGGCCGTGCCGGCGAGCAGGGCCACACTAATTACTATTTTCGGCGCGCGGTGCCACGCCAGGCCGAGGCGGCCCCGCCGGGTCGCCCTGACGCAAGCGCCCGCCGGCCCGGCCGGCCCGGCTGCCCGGCACAAGGAAGCGCTCGGGGACAGCGCCCGGAGCCGCCCGCTCGCGCCCGGGACGCCGCCTGTCCCGGCACTGCGGCCCAGGAGCCGCCCCTGTTTGGCCAGCGCGTGGCCTCTGTGTCCGGGGAAAACCGGCTCCGTGGGATTTGCTGCTGCGCGGCGGCTGGGCCGGGGGGCAGCGGGGCAGAACGGCGCGGGGGCGAGGGCCGGCAGAGCGGGGGCCGGGCGGGCGGCGCGGGGACGCAATAACCAGGCCGCATTCCTGCGGGGCTGCTGCGGAAACTTTAATTAAATAGGGAGGCAGCCCGGGAGGAGGCGGGAGCTCCGGCACGGGCTGGGCTGAAGGGAAGGAGGATTAAGGGCTAATGCAGCCTCCCCCCTRTCGGGTCCCCGGCGGGGGCTGGTGCTGACGGGGGCTGCTCGGGGGGGCGGGCAGGGGGCAGCGCCCGCCGGGCGCCCGCGGAGCCGCCGTGTCCCTGTGCGGAGGGGGACACTGTCCGGGATGCGGCACCGCCGCGGCCGCTGGCCCGGCCGTGCACCGGTGACAACGGTGCCTTTGTCTGGCAGCGGGTGGACACGGGACGGCCGTGCAGCGTGGGTGGCCGTGGGGAGGGCAGCGGTGCTGCAGGACATGTCCCCTGCCCAGGGCAGCCCTGCCTGGCTCCAGCGCGGTGACACCAGYGGGCACGGGGTGGCACACGGGGTGACACGCATTGGAGCAGAGCAGAGGTCTGGGGGCTGAGGGGCCGGTGCGTGGCCAGGGAGGGGGCCCGGGGGACAGAGGCCCCCGCGGTGAGCAGGGTCAGGCCGTGCAGGGCCCCGGCAGCTCCGTGGGCACTGCGTGGGGCACAGGCRGCAGCGGGCACAAACTCATGCCACAGGCAGCAGGCGTGTGGGCCTGGCTGGGGCTGAGCGCTAGGCCGTGCACCCTGGGGAGACCCTGGTGCCACCCGAGCAGCCAGCGCTGCCATCCCAGTGCCCACAGTGCCCAAGAGCTGGTGGCAGGGCCGACTCACCCAGCTGGGCACCGGGCTGTCTCCARCGGACTCGCTGTCTCTGCTGGAGCTGCTGCCCGGCAGGGAAGGGCCGCGCGGGGCGGCGGGAAGCTGGGCCCAGACCCTCCCGCCGCTGGAAAACATGAATAATTGGGCAAGTATCCGCGGGGCAGGCTCGAGGAGCCGGCCAAGGCCGCGGCCGCGCGCGCCGGCCAAGCGCCCCACGGGAGCCGGGGCTGCGGCCCCGTCCCTCGCAGCCTGTCCTGCTCCCTGCTCCCTGCTCCCTGCCCGGATCCCGCTTTGCTCGGGAGGGGGAAGTGCTGCCAGCCGCGATGCAGCCGGGAAGCCCGCGGGGCCGGGTAACCCCGAGCGGCACCGAGCGCACGCAGGCGGTGGGGCCGGCGCGGGGCCGAGCAAGGAATGCGGCGCTGCGCAGGGAGCGGGCGGCGCGCGCGGGTGGAGCGCCGCGTCCCGCCGCGTCCCGCCGCGCTCTGCGACCTGCCCTGMGCTCGTGGCGAGGCGGGGACGGCGGCGGCCGTGGCCCAGCCAGCCCAACCTGCCCGGGGCCGGGCGAGCGGGGAGCCTGGCAGCCGCGGAGGAAATGCCAGCGTAATTAAAGGGACGAGAGGCTCGGAGTCAGCAGCTGGTTGCAGCACGGGACACGTCAGCGAAACCCGAGCCTGGCATTGCAAAACACAGCCGCAGCCGGGGCTCGCGCCCCGCCGGGGCCCGCGGGCCTGCCTGGGGCTCCTGTGTGCCCGGCCGCTGCCCGCGTGGCCCCGTGCCCCATGTCCTGCCAGCCCCTCTGCCTGCACCGGCCCATGTGCCGGGCTGGGGCTCAGGGATGCTGCAACCAAGGTGTCCAGCCTGGAAGGAACGTGCTGGGTGCTCGGCACTCACTGGCTTTGGGGACAGCGTCCTCATGTCCCCGTGCCGCGCACCCAGGCCACCTCTGTGCTGGCCGGTGCACGGGGGGCACCGGCCGCCTTGGCCATGTATACCGGGCGGGCAGYGGGTCCAGCGGGGGCCCCATCGTGGCTGCGCCGGGGGCTGTTAAGGGCCTGGAGCGGCTGCGCGGGCGGGAAGGTGCCGGGGAAGGGGCTTTGGGACCGGTGCAGGGGGCCTGGGCCCCCTTTGGGGTCCTCCTGTCCCCTCCGTGCCCCGGCTGTGGCTGGGGGGCAGGGGCTGCAGAGCCCCCATGTGCCCTTGGTAAAACATCCTCAGGCTGATGCTGGGTGGGGAGCCAAGGGGTGGAAGGGCCRGCAGTGGCGCCGGGGTGGCAGGAGGGTCCCCTTCCCTTTGCCCGCGCCCTGGCTGCACACACGGCTGCATGGCCCCCTCCCTGCTGCTAATTAGGGCTCTCATTAACCAGGCTGAAAGACGGTGCTGAAAGATGAGTGAGGCCATGCAGCGTAGCCGGCTGCCTCCCCTCGCTGCCTCGCGCTGCAAAGCAAGGGCAGCGGGGGGACATTGAGCCCAGGGGACAAAGCAAGGGCAGAGGGGGAAGATTGAGCCCAGGGGACAAAGCAAGGGCATTGCAGGGGACATCTCCCCAACGGGCCCTGACACAGGAGCTCCCGCCGAGGGCAGAGCACGGGGCGACGCCTGCCGGCTGTGGGGCTGGGAGGGCGCCGGACACGGCCACCACAGCGGGCAGTGGTGCCCGCCAGGCACCGTTTCTCCGTTTCCATGCTGGTGTCAGCACCACCGGCGTGTTGCCACCTTTGCCTAAGTCTCGAGGCGGAGCTGCGTGCCCAGCATCGGGATCCAGCTGCAGCTGGAGCTAGTCCGGCCGYGCTGCGGTGCCCGGCACCGCACGCAGGAGCTGGGCACGGTGCCCGGAGCTGGCCCTGGCAGCTCTGCGGGTGCTGACACTTGCTCCAAGCCTTGTCCGCCCTCCCGGACCTCCCTCCTTGCCCAGGAGGATGCAGGGACAGGGTGGTGCTGCCTGGGGCTGCGGTTGCTGCCCCAGGCGATGCTGCAGTGGGGGCACAACCTGCATTCGCACAGAGGCAGCCCCGTCCTCGGCTGGTGCGCGCGGCATGTTGGCGGCTGCATCACTGCTTGCTTGTAAAACCAGCACAGACCGCAGCAGGTTGGGCTCCGAGCCCCCGCCGGGGGCACCTGGCAGCGCCAGGCACGGAGGGACACAACGAGGATGCYGCGCTGGGGCATCCACTGCAGCGCAGCCCGGCACGAGCAAAGGGTTAACGGCCTCGCGCGGCTCCCACCCCCTTCCCTGGCGTGGCGGAGTGGGCGTCAGCTCTGCTCTGCTCTGCTGTGCTCGTTTGCTGTGCTCAGCTCTGCTCTGCTCGGCTCGGCTTGTGTCGGGGCGGGCGGCGCATCCCACATGTTTGAGCTGCGCCCTGCCGAGGGGAGCGCGGGCGCCGCGGGGCCCCGTGCCGGCCGGGAAAGCGGCAGGGCCGCTCTGCTCACGGACACAAGGGCTTCGAGAGGCTCTGCAGCCCCAGGGCGCCAGGCCGGGCCTGGGGCTCCTGCCCCAGCGCCCCAGCGCTGTGGAGCCTGTGGGGCCCGGCCCTGCTCCCCCAGCACRGCCACAGGCCATCCGTCAACACGGGAGAGGCCAAGGGTTTTGCATGGGAAGCCTGTGTGCGGGACGGGCCCGGGAGCAGCCTCAGCACCTCGGACGTGGGCGCCTTGACACCCCTCTCCTGCTTTCTCCAAGCGCCCTCCCTGTCCAGAGCCCRAGCGCTTCCCGGTCTGTGTGGACCCAGCGGCAGGTCACACACAGCAGGGAGCTCCAAGGCCTAGGGACCGCTCCTGTCCCAGGTGCAGGACGCCTGCAGCCTGGGATGCGCAGGGCCCTCAGACGTGCCCTGCACCGGGTCCCTGCAGCACTGCTCAGCACCTAACCACGGCGGGGCTTCTCTCTCCTGCAGAGCTGACACCATGAACCGGCTGCTGCTCAGTGCGCTGCTGCTCTTCGCCCCCGCGGACCTCGTTGTGGCGTGTCCCACGGGCTGCCAGTGCCAAGACCCCAAGACCATCCTGTGCGCAGCGAGGCGAGGGCACACGGTGCCCAGCGGGCTGCCCCCCAACACCCTGTCCCTGTACGTCTTCGAGAATGGCATCACCACACTCAGCGAGGACAGCTTTGGGAGCCTGCCCGCCCTCCAGCTCTTGGACCTCTCGCAGAACAAGATCACCGCCATTCAGAAGAATGTCTTCCAGCCCCTAACAGAGCTCGTCAACTTGGACCTGTCCTCCAACCAGCTGCAGGAGATCACCAATGAGACCTTCCACGGGCTGCGGCTCCTGGAGCGCCTCTACCTGCAGAGGAACAGGATCCAGCACATCCACGCTGCTGCGTTTGACACTCTGGAGAACCTCCTGGAGCTCAAACTGCAGAACAACCAGCTCTGGGTGGTGCCTCCCCTCGACCTGCCCAACCTCCTGCTGCTGGACATCAGCTGGAACAAGATCCCTGCTATTGCGCCCGGTGCCTTCCGCGCAGTTAACATTGAGTCCCTCAAGATCGCGGGCCTGGGCCTAACGAGCCTGGATGAGGAGCTCTTCCAGCCCCAGAACAACCTCCACGAGCTGGACGTCTCCGACAACCTGCTGGAGCGCGTCCCTGCGGTGCTGCGGCGCCTGGGCAGCCTCACCAAGCTCAACCTGGCGGGCAACGCGCACATCTCCCAGCTGCTGCCCGAGGACTTCCACAGCCTGCACAACCTCCAGGAGCTGGATATCAGCAACCTCAACATCAACACCATCCCTCGGGACTTCTCCGGCTTCTTCCCCAGACTCCGGGCCGTGACAGCTGCAGGAAACCCCTTCAACTGTATCTGCCAGATGAGCTGGCTCGTGCACTGGGTGAACACCAGCGGGGTGGCCCTGCGGCGGCCCGAGGAGACGCGGTGCCATTTCCCCCCAAAAAACTCGGGCAAGCTCCTCCACCACCTGCAGTACGGTGACTTCGGCTGCCCCACCACCACCACGACCACCACGAGCAGCACCGCGCGCCCCACCACCCTGCAGCCGCCCGCGCTGCCCCCCACCAGCAGCCGCCCATCTCCAGCGCCCGGCACCGCTGCGCCCAGCCCGGACACCGGGGCCCCCCGGGACAGCTCCACGGCGACGCCGCTCAGCGCCCCGGGGGGCCCCACGAGCCTCCCGACGCAGACGTGCCCCCCTCGCACGTGCCTGAACGGCGGCACCTGCCAGCTGGACGCTGAGAACCAGCTGCGGTGCCTGTGCCCGCAGGGCTTTGCTGGGGCCTTCTGCGAGGCGCACGTGAGGAGGACTACGGTGCCGCCCGCCACGCAGGCGCCCACTCGGAGCGGGCAGATCAGTATCAAGCAGGTGAGCAGCACGTCCTTGAAGGTGGATTTCCAGCACTACGTCCAGTCCAAAGCGCAGCTGAGGGGCATCCGGCTGAGCTACCGCAACCTCTCCGGGCCGGACAAGCGGCCCGTGATGCTCCGCTTGCCGGCCTCGCTCTCCGAATACACCGTGCGGGCCCTGAAGCCCAACTCCACCTACCGCGTGTGCATCGGGCCGCTGMGGGAGGGCTCCCGGGAGGACTTCTGCGCCGAGGTGCGCACCTTGCAGCTCACCCACCAGCAGCACTCGCCCGTCACCCAGGGCAAGGACAGCAACCTCACGCTCATGATCGTGCCCGCGCTGGCCGCYGTGCTGCTGCTCGTGGTGGTGGTCACCGCGGTCACCTACTGCCGCCGACACCGCCAGGCAAAGACCGACACGGGGGCCGGAGTGGACTCCRGCCCCCTGGAGCTGGAAGGTGTGAAAGCCTGCCTGGAAAACGGGGATTTGAGCAGCCACAAGGCGCCAGAGAACGCGGTGCTGTCGAACCCCTTGGAGTGCGAGGTGCCGCTCATGCAGTCGCACTACCCCAGCAACAACAACAGCACGGCGCTCAAGCCATCCTATTTCTGAGCGCAGAGGGGCCAGGCAAGCGGAGCGGGATGCGGCAATGCTCCGGGAGCAGCGCCGGGGCCCTGCCGGGACCAGGAACGCTGAGGAGTTAACTCAATTAGGACGGAAACCCAAAACCCGTAACGTGCAATTTCTGAGAGGCTTACACACTTAGGGAGGAGACACTAATTTTACCGCTCAGCATATGACTAAGTGCCTTGACTTCTGTGACTCTACGTGGAATGTGGTTAGCGAAAGAGAAGGGGTTTTTTAATTTGGGATTTGGGTTGGCTTTCTTTTTTAGCAGTAGCTGAAAAGAAAGTTGTCCGTGACTTAGCTGAGGGGCACCGACGTGCTGGTAACAAAGGGTCCCTCAGCTAAGTGTGGCCTGTGACTCTGGGCTCCCTGGCAAGTCGATGTGAGCAGCAATAAGGAAAGGCCGGGTCCCCCGCGGGAGACCGAGGGGCTGGGCCCCCCGGCCTCTCCRTGCCCGGCGTCGAAGGACGCGCCGAAAGGCCAACCAGCAACYGAAGCTTTAAGAACTTGGAGAGAATATTTATACATGGTTATTTCCCATTTCTTCTGGGAAAGCTCTTTTCTAGTACAGGTTTGCGTACACCTGTTTTGTAAGGCAGACAGAARGGTGTCTTTTTGTAAAAAAAAAATAAAATAAAATTAATAATAACTAGAAGTTCTGCAGAGTGTTTGCAATGATGGAGGGCTGCGTTGGAGCCCTGCCGGGCTCCCCGAGCAGCCCARGTGGTTTCCATCGCTGCAGGCACAGTCCCTGCCCAGCGGGGCTGCGGGTGCTGTTCATGGGCAGGCGCCGCTCCGGGAGCTCCGGGCACGGGGCAGCCGGGGCCGCTCGGCCCCGTGTCCCGCGGGGCTGCGGCCTCTGGCAGCCAGGCTGCTCGGCCGCGTCTTCCTGTTGTTGTTGGAGGGGCGCTGGGATGAGTCAGGACACGGGATGGGGGGTTTTCCCAGCTCCAGCCCCGCTGCCCCCCGCGATGCTGCCCCCACGGCGCGTTAAGGAGGTGTTACCAAAGAGAGGCCACAAGGCTGCACGGCGCCCGGCCCTGCGCATCACGCAGTTACTTCATCCCCACCCCGCCTGCCAAATGTCCCCGGGGGCAGGCGAGACAAACAAGCCAAGCGGCCCAGCCCCGGTGACCTCCTGACGTCACCCTGGTCACCCAGGGCTGTGCTGCCGGGCGGCTGGGTGTGACCCCAAGCGGGGGCAGTTTTGGGGGTGCTGCCCCACGGAAGTGCCGGCTCTGCCCCCGAGGCCGCGGCACTCGGATGTGGCACCGTCCCGGAGCTGCCCCCGCCGGCGCCCCCACATCCTCCCGGGGTGCAGGAGCTGCCGTGTGGGGCCAGGGGGGCCTGGGGCGCCTTCCCCSCCACGGCTGCGCTGGCCTCTGCTTTTAATCGTTTTCCAATCCTTTATCATTCACGCTGGAATTTTCCAGGTTGGGTGCCTGCCCATRGCGGGATGTTTTATTTGGAGAAAATGAGCAAACCGGGCGCAGCGGCTGCCCCCCTCCCCGCTGTGCCGGGCCGCGCGGAGGCCCCCGGCTGCCCAAGGGGCTGCGGCGGCGCCTGCAACCCGAGCCGGCCTCTCGCTGCCCGCGGCGGGGCCGGCGCTGCCGCGGCGCCCGCGAGCGCCCAGGTGAGCGGCCCTGCGCCACGGCGGCCGCCAGGATGTGGCCCCGGCCCCCGAGCGCCTCCATGCTCCTCCGTGGGGGCCAGCGGGGGCGCAGGGCCTCGCCGGGGGCACCGAGTGCCTCGGGGTGGAGTGCGGGGCTGGCGTGGGGGGCGCGGAGTGGGACACGCTCCGCAGGCCATGGGGGCCGCGGGGGCTCCCGCCTGGGCTTCCCGTTGGGGCCGGTGCGGGGCCGCGGGGACCCTCGTGGCACGGGCGGCCCGGCCCGGCGGGCAGGCGCGAGGGCCGCGCTCGCCCGCTCAAAGGGCTCTTTGTGGTGCTCTGCCCGCAGCTTTTTTAAATTAGCCTTCCCGAATTCCTCCCCAAATTGCTGCTGTGTAAATATTTTCCCTGCGCGCTCTGTATATTTTCCAGGCAGGCGAGGAGGAGGGATGAAAACGCGGCCGCGGAGCTGGAGCCTCGCGCCGGCGGGCGGCAAGCGGCGCCTCGGCTGGCCCCAACGCCCGGACGGGGGACTGGGGGCTGCCCGAGGCCTTGGCACCGGCACCCGCTGCCTCCCAGCATCACCGGCAGCGGCACCAACGCAGCAGCAGCGGCGGCAGCTCCGGTGCAACCCCGCGGCCCCCGCGCGCGGGCCGGGAGCCCCCCGCGCTGCACCGTGCCAGCAGCGGCTCCGCGCACCCGCCGCGGCCAATTCCTGCGCGCTGAATCAGCGCCGGCGAAGCATTGCAAAACCCCTGAAACGGCACCAAGAAAACGGGGGGAAAAAAGATCCCAAATTCCCGCTCGCTATTAAATGCAGCYGGGGCTGGCGAGCGGGGGCCACGGGCAGGGCGAGGGGCTCGGCGAGGGCTGCGGCGGCCCGCGCAGGGTCAGGGTGCCCGCTGCGCCGCACGCTGCTGGGAACGGCTCGCGGCGACGCTCCGGCTTCCTGGAAAGCTGTCGAGGCCTGAGGCTGGGCACGCTGGCCGCTCGAGGGGGCGGCCTGCGCCGGCGCTGCCGCCCATCTGGGAGCCATTTGGGCAATTAGGCCGCCAGGCGGCTGCCCTAGACGAGCCAGCCCATGCAGAGGGGCTATTTTTACCCAGTGCAATTACCCTGGCCGTACCGCCACGTTAACCCTTTGCAGGGCCAACCTCACACTTGTGGATATGGTGGTGGCAGCGATGGCCTGAGTGGGTCCCCGGTGCTGCGCGGGCACACGCAGTGTGGTCCCCAGGGGGACACCGCTCGTCCCCAGCGTGGGCATCCCCGCGGCACGAGGCTGGGCAGCGCCAAGGCAGCGCGGGCAGAGCGAGGGATGATCCGTGATCCCGGTGCTGCGGCCAGCCCCACCGCTGCTGGCCTGGCCTGGAAGGGGTCAGCTCGGGCATCTGGCACAGGAGGGCCCTGATCCATCTGAGCTCGTCCAGGATGCCCAGGGCCAGCTGGTGCGAAACTCAGCAGCTCACTGCCTACTCTTTCTTTTAAGAGCTGAGGCTAAACGATTAAACACTCCCACTCTGCGTTATCTGTGCAGCCGTGGCCAATTCTTTCACCTCGGCCTCCAGCGCGCATRGGTCTCGCTCTGCCTCGCAGACACTGCACTGAGGCACATGGATGGCTGTAGCACTGGGCACAGGGACGAGCGCCCGCGCTGCAAACCCCGCGCCGCGGTGTGTGACAGGGCGCTGCGCCAGCGCTGCACCCATGTGCACCCCCCAGGAACCCCCAGCCTCCTGCCTCACTGAGTCCCCAGCAGCAAAGTCCCCTCCCTGGCCGTGTTTTCGCCGTCCCCACAGGCTCATCCCACCTCAGCGCCGGGTGGATCTGCCCTCAGCAGCCTGGCACGAGCAGCACCCRGAGCTGGGTGCCCTGCAACGCGGGGAGCTCCCGCGCGAGCCGGCAGGGAGGGGATGTCCCTGTTTCCCTGCGGGCGGCTCGGTCGGGCCCTGCTCCTTGCTGCGGTTCTTGGGCAGGGCGGACGGTGCGGTGGCGACCGCACAACTCAACAAGGGAGCCACTGTTCCTAGCGGCGGGGCCCGGCCCCGGCCCGGCGGGCGCGCGGCAGCGGGGTCTGGGCGCTGACCTGCGCACCAGTCCTGGTAACCCAACTCCACGGGTCCTGGTTACAATTTAGGGCAACAATAACCTATTGAGGCCACTTCCTGGCTCCTGCCCTGCTGCTCCTTGATCTAATTAAAGGAGGCCGTAGGGAAGATAAAACGCGATTCAAAGGGAGCGACGGGCGACCCAACGGCGGCCAGGCGAGCGGCCGCGGCCACCCACGCCTCGTGCTGCCGGCTCCCCGGGGACTCTGGTGGACGAGGGCCAGCAGAAACACTGCTGGGCATTAGACAGAGACCAAGATGCCACTAGGGCTCGTGTCCGTCCCCAMRGCTCATATCCATCCCCACGGCTYGTGTCCGTCCCCACGGCTCGGCCCTGTCCCCGCTGCAGCACAGCCKGCTCTCGGATGCAGCCCAGTGCCCAGTGTCRATGTCCCAGGGGCGCGCGGCAGCCGGAGCCCCGGGTATCCCAACCCAGCAGCCACCAGCCAGGCAGCCCTGGCGGCAGCAAGCGCAGCTCTCGCTTATCACACGTGCGGGAGCGAGCCCCAAATCCCCCTCTGCCATTTGTCATCTCCGAGAAATTTATGGGCCGCGAGAGCTGGGGAGCGGGCTGGAATTTCGGCAGCGAGTGCTCGGCCCCAGCGCTTGCTAAAAGCAGCAGGTCCGTGTGCCGTGCGGCCCCTGCTCGCGCCCGGCCGCCTTATCGGCCCCGCGCCGCCGCGGCCCGAGSCGCGCAGCCCGGCTGCCCCGCAGATAAGCGGCGCGCCCGGGGCCGGCCCGCCGCATTCCTCGCCGCCGATAAAGGCAGCAGCCAAAATAGCCCCGAGGCGGCACGAGCGGGGCCAGCGCAGCGCCGCRCGCCTGCACCCGATTCAGGTGGGTGAGCTCGGCGAGTGCCCCCGGGCGCAGGGTGGGGGACGCGGGGTGTCCCCTTGGCACAACCTTGGGGATACCTTGTGTGCCCAGGCCTCCTCTGGAGGTGTTCACTCTGGATGCTAATGATGCCTTGCAAGGACAAAGAGCAGCTTCGGCATGTGCACGTGGAAGGGGCTGCTTCCCACAGCGCCGTGCTCACCCCCAGCTGGATGTGGCACCTTGGAGGCCACCGTGGCCCCGGGCAGCCCTGTCACCTCCAATCACAGCTCTGTCACCTCCAGCCACAGGAGCACGGAGTGTCCTTCACCCCGGAGTGGCTGGGGACACGGTCATATCTTGCTCAGCACTGCCACCTCCTGCCCTTCCCACCTGCACAATGCCAGGAACAAGGCCACACRGTCTCCATTGCTGTCACCTCTGCCAGAGTCACAGTGAGCTCCTCCCACCCCGACACTGCTGGGACAAGGTCACACGGTGCCCAGCTTTACGGCTGACATCAGGAGCTCCCGGCTGCGTCCCCCTCTACCTCCATGCTCACCTGGCCGCACGCGTCCCCCACTGCGCTGTCCCCCAGGGCCCTCCCATTCCCCGGCGAGTCYCCGTTCCTACCCGGGCGAGGTGTCCAGCGCCAGGGAGTGCGTCGCACTGCTGAACTTGCGCGTGTCCCACAGCTTCACCTCGCGCTCCCGCATCTGTGGGGACGAAGCATCAGCCTCATGAGCGCGACGGGGCCGCCCCACACTGTGTGCCCCTCGCCCAGGGCAGCCACCTTCCCCCCAAGGGTGCTGTGCCAGCTGGTCAGTCCTGCTGTGCCACCCACAGGGCACAGAGACCAGACCTGAGGCCTCCAGAGCCACCTGCCTTCCCAGGGGCCGCATGGGTCACTCTAAAAGCGCTTGGCTTTGTATTTAGCCCACCAGGAGCAGGCTGGCACGGAGGACATGTGTGGAGTGACACCAAGGACCTTCCCGCGAGGTCTGTACCTGGTTGCAGCCGACGGAGATGAGGTAGTCGCTGGCACCCATCCAGAGCAGCCGCGCGTCCTTGCTGTTCTCGTGCCCCTGGGCGCTCTGCAAGGCAGGCATGAGAGCGCGGTCAGTGTGTGCAGGGCGCGCGGCGGGGACACATGCCTGCGGCGTGACGCGAYGGTGACCGTGAGCAGTGCCGGTGTGGCACAGAGCCAGGCTCGCCGCGAGGTGCCCGTGGTGTCGCAGTGCTGCAAGCGGGGACGGCCCCAGCCCCGCCGGAGGGTCCGGCTGCGCGCCCGGGGGCTCRCAGCGATGGCAGGGCAAGCAGGACGGGGTGCGCGGCACCAAGGTGCTGCCGGCACAGGGCTCGGCGCCTCAGCAGCTGCCCATGCTGGCGGGCAAGACAGCRCCAGGGAAGCAGCAGCGGAACTTACTTCCACGGGCACATCCCGGCGCTCGCCATCCTTGCCAGATCGCGGCTGCAAGAGGCTACCGAAACGCCGAGGGTCACCCGAGGGGCGAGCGGGGCCCTTCCTCACTGCTGCCAGCCCTGCTCTTCCTCGCACACCCCTATTGCCCCCTGGCCATGTCCCCAGCCGTGTCCCTCACGTGGCGCCCGGTGCCGGTGCCGGCAGGGGAAGGGTTACCCGGCGGCACCAGCTCCCATGTGGCCCCCAGATGGGCCCTGCGGTTGGCGGGGCCCCAGCGGGACCCTGCAGCCGGCGCTGGCCCCACCGCACGCAGAAACTTGGGAGCCCCCTCCTGCTTTTTTTTTTTAAATGGAGCTCCCATAAAACAGCCAAACTGCTCACGATTTAGAGGCTGTCGTGAAAAAAGCAGGAGCTCTGCCAGYGCTGAACGGAGCGCGGCGCTTCCAGCACCGCCCCGCAGCCCTGCCTGTGACCGCGCTGCTGCCGCGGGCTCCTGCCCAGGCTCCCTGGGACAGGGGCACGGAGGTGCCCGCGCTTCCCTGCTCCTTCCAGAGGCTCCCYGGGGCTCCCCATGCCCGGGGCGGGGCGAGATGTTGCCCTCTCCAGGAGGACAGAGCAGCCCCTGGCYGTTTTGGGAGGGATGTAGGGTGCATCCCGTGCCCTGACGGGCACCCTGCTCCCGCTCCCCCGGCTGCGGCCCGCGGGCCTCGCTGCCAGCACAAACAYGGTGCGAGGCAGCGTGTCCTGCTAGGAAGAGGCTGTGCTGACCAGGGCCAGCATTCCCAAGGGCGACAAGCAGGATGTGGCCTGGGGGCCCTGCCCACAGTCGGCAAGCTGGCAGAGAGCACGGCTCCCGGCGAGCGCGGGACGCCCCTCGGCTCCCAGCTTCCCCGGCCAAGCTGCAGCAGGGAGCATGGCCCCAATCCCTGCCAGCTCCGTCCCGCCCTGTCCTGCGGGAGCTGCTGTCCAGGTGTGGGGAGGCACCARGAACGGCACCGCTCCGGCCCCTGCCTGTTCCCGGGGCCGTGGGACGTCCCGCGTCCCGGGGGGCTGGTGCCACCGCCGCTGCCAGCCCAGCTCTACCTGTGCCGGGACCCCGCGGGCCGGGCCGGCCCCTCGGCGCAGCGCGCCCGCCCCCGCGGCAGCGCGGCAACATGTTTTCTGCATTAGTTCCATGGCGCGCTGAGCAGTACGTATGTCAGCAAATATGCGGGAGGCCGGGGCTGGGCGCTCCGGGCGCGCACGCGGCTCCGGCCCTGGCCCCGCGGGCGCTGCTGGAGGTGGGCGCATGGGGGCTGCAGCACCGTGTGCCCACCAGGCCACCCTCCTGCCCCGCTGTCCTGAGGGGGCAGGTGCCACGGGGACGAGGCCGGGTGAGCATCAAGGCCACAGCCTGGCCTGGCCCCGAGGAACCCGGCGGTGTGGCTGGTGTGCGGGGGGCACCATGGGGTTCATGGGGCTGGCAGTACCGGGCCAGCCCCCAGTCCGGGGAGCCCCCACCTGCATCCCCAGGGCACCGAGCAGCCACGCAGCACCCGGTGGGTGCCCCTGCTGCCTCTCCCCAGGGTGCTGCTCCCCCAGCACGCTCAGAGGGGAGGCAGGAGCAAGGGAACGTGGGCATTGCCCCCAGTGCTGAGCGCAGGCGGGCACGCAGGGGGCCCGGGAGGCCTCGCAGCTCCGGCGCCGGGGGCCCTGCCTCCTCCAGCCCATTGTGCAGCTCCAGCCCAGCTGGTTTGAAGCAGCCCGGGCTGGGGGGGAGCTCGGGCTCCCTCCTCCGAGACGGCTCCGCAGCACAGGGAGGCTGTGCCCTGTGCTCCCTGCGGGCGCWGCGCCCCGTGCGCGGGGACACGCCGCCCCTGCGGAGATGCCAGCCCCAGGCGCTGGCTCAGGAGCCCCCAGCTGAGCTGCTGGCTGCGGGGTGCTGCGGCGGAGCCAAGCATTACACACAGGCCCGGGAAGGGGCCCGGCACGGCCGGGGAATGGGAACAGTGTCRGCTGCAGCTGTTGGCAGCGGAGCCGCGGGCGGGCGGGCTGGTAACAGCTGGTTGCGGCGAGCGGCGGCTTCTTGGCTCTGCCGCCGGCTGCCTAGGAGAGCAGGGCACAAAGCGGGAGCTGCTCCCTGCGCCAGCGCTGCCTCCAYGGGGGATATTTACCTTGGCCAGGGGAAGATGTGAAGGGGCCCRGGGCAGAGCGGGGAGGTGCCCATGGCAGTGAGCACCAGGAGGGGCAGCGCCGGCCTCTGCCCTGGGGGAGGCAGCGCGGCCTCTGCTTGGCCGCTGGCAGAGGCCGGGGTCCCCGCTGGCTGCTTGCCCCCGCCCAGCCCCACTCACTGGGTGGGGCCTGGAGGTTTTGCAAAAACGATAAAGTTCAAAAGTCCTGCTGAGCAGCGAGGGGCTGCCAGGAAGCCTCCCCGCTGCTCTGCGGGGCCTGGGGCAGCGCCTTGCCCTTGCAGAGCTCAGCCTTGTCCATGSCCGGTGGCTGGCAGACAGGCATCCAACCTCCGCAGGGGAGCTCCAGCACTGCTGGGATCTGCAGAGATCCGAGGCACGGGGCTGGGCTGATTCGTGTCTCTGCCAGCAGCCGCTGGGGCAGGGGGCTCCTGAGGGGCCTCTGGGGCCAGGCCGTGGGCAGAGAGACACGGGCAGAACCCTCTTCCACGTGCCAAAAGCCTGAGGGCCGTGGGCGTGCGGGGGGCACGCGTGTCTGCACACACAGGGAAAGCAACTGCTTCTTCCATGGGAGACGCCTGGGCAGGGGAAAAGGCTTCCCGGGGAAGCCCTTCCCGACGGCGCCGGGAGGGTTAACTCGGAGCATCCTCGGCAGAGCGGCGCGCCTGTGCGACCCCTCCTCCAGGCAGAGGAATGTGAGCTCCCAGCCTCGCCAGACACAAGCTATTCCAGAGGTAGCCAGGAGAGCRGAGCGGCTTGTGGGAGGCCGGGCGGGCGAGGCGCCCGGCCAGCGCGCAGCCCGCACAGCCCCKGCTGCAGCTCGCGCTGCAGGGCGCTGCGGGGAGCGGCCGCCGCTCGGCCGGGACGGTCCGCGAGCCTGCGGCGCCTGCCATGCCAGCCCCGGGAGCGCTTCCGTCTGCGGGCAGAACTTACCCTGCTCCCTTCTCTGAAACAGGAAAACACGGACACAGGCCCAGCTACGAAGCCAGGATGACAGTGATGGCCAACTCTGTGCCTGCTAACGAGGGCCAGCTCTCCTCACGGGCCAGTCACCCCTTGCTGGGCTCCCGTAACAAGCCGTTGCTGTCACAGCCACTGGCCTGATGTGGAAAGCGGCCGCACACTTCCCCAGCGGTGCCGCGCTCCGCTCGGCATTCACACGGGTTTCAGAGTCTCCCTTTCTCCACCGCAGGTGTGTGTCACCGTGGGGAGGGAGGCAGGCAGGAGTGCTGCTGAGGACTTCGAACCCACTTTGACACCGCTCTTGGTGCAGCAAGATGGGACGAGGCCTTCCCAGTCCTTCCTAACACCTGCACCAAAAGCAGACGGGGCCCACGGTGCTTTTTAATCGCAGGCTGCACTCACACACCCATTTGCACACCCCAAGCCCCTCATGTCTCTCCTCTCCATGCCAGCAGATGCCAACCTAGCAAGAGCCGTCCCCACCGCRCTGGCAGGAGGAAAGGCAGCGGGGAGAGGGAAGGATGAGATCGGGCTCCTCGCACGCCCACGGCCCTCGTGGAGCCRCGAAGGAAGCAAAAGGCCTGTCCCGAATCCGCCTCTACTTCCCCATCCCTGCAATACCAAGCAGCATTCCTGGGAAGGAAGGATGAGGGGGAAGCAGAGAAGAGGAAATATAAACAGTCCCGTGCAGCTACGCTGGGGAACAGAAGCATGAGAGAGTGGAGCGCGCGTTACTATAAATAGGCAGCCCAGAGCTAGGCCAACTTTTTCAAAGCTTCCCACGGTCTCCTTGGGAATGTGGGATGCTGTGGACTTTCCCCCGGCCTGGAGGAAACTGCTGCCGAGGCTGGGAGTCAGGTACCCCCGGGGTGACCTCGGCGTGGGACGGGGAGGGACGGCCGGGAACCCCGCACCATCCTCACGCATCTTCYCAATGCGCGGTCCCCTGTCCCGGGCTGAGGTGACGAGGTGCCCGTCACCGTGTCCGGCTGCGCAGGGCAGGCTGAGGGGCTGCACTGGGGTCCGGCACGGGCACGCGCCGTTCCATCGTCCTCAGGCTCTGCCGGAGGAGCCGGAGCAGCATCCGGCCGGAGGAGCCGGAGCAGCTGCATGCAGGGCCGCCGCAGTCCCCAGGGAGCGGCCGCGCGGCTCCCAGCGCCGTCCCCTCGCCCTCTCCCACTGTCCCCCCTGCGCAGGGTGACGCCGCCGTGGCCGGAGGACACGTAGACCAGGGCGAACGCGCAGGCCGCGGCGTGAGCTCCCTGTGGGCCGCAGTGGCACCAGGCAAGGCGTTGGTGCTGGGCCGGCGGTGCAGGCAGCCCYGCTGCCGGGCGTGCGGAGGCTATGGAGGCCGCCACGCATTCCTGTCACCCGCTGCACGGACACGGCAACGCGGTCTGCACGGCACCCACGCGGCCTCCACCCTGGGGCATCCGCTTGCCCTGGGGCCGGGCCCGCAGCAGCCGCTGCTCCCTGCGCCGCTTCCTGCTGCACACGGGCAGCTCCCGGGCACCGCTCGGCCCTGCCGCCCGTTCCGGCCGCCCTGGGCCCCGCGTGGCTGGCACAGGTCCCCGCGGGGGGCGAGGGAGGACGTGCGAGCGGGCAGGCTCTGGGCAGGCTCTCTGCCGGCGCGCGGGGCCCTTCGCTCGCCCGTGCCTCGCTGCAGCCCCCGCGGCCGAGGTTTCTCGTGAGAACGGAGCGCGCGCCGCGCCAGCCCACGCCGGCCACGCTCGCCRCCTTCCCCGTCAGCCGCCGTCAGCACCGCCTGCCCCGGCGCCGTAATGGGAGCCAGGTGCCGGCCAGATGCAGCCGCCGCGGGCGCCCGCACGGCCTGTGAGCGCGGGGGCGGCAGAGACCCCGGCCCAGCCCTGCTCTGCCAGCGCACACTCTGCACGGGGGCCTTCGTCATGCCCTGGCCCCGCACCACGTGCATCGGCCCTGAGCTTTGCCCCCGGCTCCTCAGCGCCGCGGAGCAGGATGGGCACCAGGGGCTGAGAGAGGACACGCAGGGCRCAGGCCACTGCAAGCTGCCCCGGGCACAGCCTCGGCCAGGGTGCCAAGAGGCAGCYCGAGGAGCAGGGCGGGTCAGTGCCCGGCGGTGAGAGCGGCAGGTGGAGGTGCCGCCTCAGGCACCCTGCCAGACACTCGGCACCGGCACCAGGGAAGCGCCCGGGGCGCTGGGCACAGATGCTGCACAGGTGCCACAGCAGCAGCGGGCAGCACGTGCCCCATCAGAACAGGGATGCCCCATCGCAGCAACTCCTGGATACGAGTGGTACCCACGAGTGCCTCAACTTGGCAAGTGAGCAAATCCCGCCGTGCTTCCACATCTGCTCCCGGCTCAGCTCCTGCCTTGTGCAGCCCCAAAGGCYGGGCTGCGGGTTTGGGGGCACACAGATGGAGAAAGAGGCTTTAYGGAGCCAAATTCCCAGGTGTCGCAGGGATGGCAAACGCAAGAGCGGGACAAGCAGCCGGAGGGACACAGAGCCCCAGCGGCGCAGGCCCCAGGGCCAGGGCCAGGAGAGACCGGACGTGACTGCTTCCAACTGGGAGTCAGGATGAGGAGGGCGACCCTGCACAGAGGCACCGGGTCCAGAGCACGTGGGAGGGGAGCGYAGGCCCCGGTGCAGAGCACGAGGAGCCCGGCCTTGGGAGGAGCATCAAAGTCACGGCCAAGAACAGGCCTCATGGGACCCTTCCRAAAGGACTTCCGAGCTCTCCGGGAGTGGGGACAGGCCCGGATGGAGCAGGGCTGGTGCAGCACAGAGATAGAGCTGCTAAGGGCAGCTGCGGGWAGCGGTGGCCCTGGTGCCCAGCAAGGGGCACAGAGAGCCCTGTGCCAGCTGCTGCACGGCACTGAGCAGCCTTTGCTCAACTGGCCTGGGCCCTCGTGTTGCTCTGGGTTTGTTCCAAACCGGCTGCAGCGCCGGCTYGAGCCACGGGCAGGGCAGAGGCTGGGCTGGACCCCGCAGCGCAGGGTGGCCGTGGTCCCTGGGCCGCTGCAAACAGCAGCAGCCCGTGTGGTTGTGCCTCCCTGCTCCAGCCCGGCTGTTAGCAACGAGCAGCACCCAGCAGGGTGACAGCGAGGCCAATGCACACGTCAGCTCTGGGTGTCCCTGGGGGCTCAGCAAGCCCCTGGGCACCTCTGGCCCCACAAGCTGCTCTCGCTGCACCCTGCCCTCCATCGGATCCCCTGCTGCGTCACACGCGGCCTGGGACACGCTCAAAATAGCCGTGACACACAGAGCCAGGAAGGGCAGGGGCTGGCCCGAGTGTCCCCTGCCGTCACAGCACCCATGGCCTAGCTGTGCCCCTCAAGGCCCGGCCCTCAGGAAYCCCCCAGCGCTGCCCTGTTAGCCTAGAGGCCAGTGTGCCCTCCTGGTGCCCTCCTCCGAGCGCAGCCTCAGCGGGGCGATGCCCAGGACRGGGCAGGACAGGGCAGCCGCAGGCCGGTGAGCGCTGCATCCCCAAGMGGCAAGAGCAGCGAGAGCGGCTCGGGCCCCACGGCAGGGCAGCGCCTCCGCTCCCTCTCCAAGGCTCCTATTTTAACTCCTTTGATTGTTTTTCCCTCTTGCTCTAAAAAAACGATCAGCTTAATGAGGCGRGCTTGGCAAATTACAAAAACCAGCCAGAGGAAGGGCCGGCTGCCGAGACGGCCTTTGGGCACCGCGCACCAACAGACCAGCAAGATCCCTTGGCGGAGCCGGAGCCAGGGCCGGAGCCCTCCACCTGCCGCCGGGGACGCGGCTCTGAGCGGAGCTGGCTGCAAACCCAGCCTTGCTGGTCCCGCCTCGCCGCTGGGGCCAGCTGACCTGGAAAACTCATTGCACTGCAGGCCTCGTTCACTGCTGCACAGCCCGGGTGGCTTCAAAGATCGGAGCGCGAGAGGCGCTGGCACCGCTCGGCAGCCCTGGGGTCACCCCGTTTCGTAACCGCCCTGGCCCCCAGGAGAAGGAGCCCTTCCAAAAAACCCGGCCCCGCGGCAACAGGGGATAAAAAACAAAACACAGGAGCGTTATTCCTCTTGGCTAAGCAAGCCCTGCGCAAACTTCCAGAGGATTTATGGCATTTTAAAGTTTTCCCCTTCAGCGCAGTACTTCTCCAAGACTAAACATCTTCATTAATTCTCAGCAAGACGGGGTTACGGCCGCGGCGCTGCACTTCTCGGCAGCAAAGGTGCATATTTCTCTTGGCAAAGCCTGAGCGCAGGCAAGGGGCGTGCACTGAGCCAGGGCCAGAGCAAATGGATCTGCCTTCTCCGAAGAGCCACCATCATCCACACRTTATTTTTAATAGCTCAGCTAGACAGAGTCTACCCTCCCCAGGAGACTTGGCTTGAACCCGTGCAGCTCGTGGCTCTGCCCAAACGCTGCTGCATGAGCCACCAGATCTGGCAGGGGACAGGCCGGGGGCAGCAAGGAGGGGAGAGATGATTTGAGGATGGACACAGGCTGAGCTGAGGAACCCAGCACTTTCCTGAGCGGAGGAACCCAGCACTTTCCTGAGCGGCACGCGGAGCGAAGAAGAGGCAGGGGGTACCCAGAGGGCTGGGGACACCCTGCTCTGGAGCACGTGCATCCATAACCAATGGGTACCCGTGCAAGGAGTCGTGGCACCTTTCATGCCCGCAGCAGGATTGCCCTGGTCCAGTGCAATGCCAGGGCACTGGTTCCCCTCTGGCAGCTCCCAGGCTTGGGCCAGAGAGCATTGTGAAAACAGAGCGTGGCTGCTGAGAGCGAGATCCCATCCCTCCCGAGCACAGAACCCACCACGACCTTGCAGAGCACACAGTGAGGGACGCAGGCAGCCAGGGCCACCAGGAGGCCAAGCCTCACGCCGTAAATGCAGCTACGTCAGGACCATGGCAGGAGGAAAGAGCAGCAGGACACAGGGAGCCTCGTGGCTCTGGCCACACGGGCACGTGGCTGGGAGGRGAGGCCTGAGGGGCAGAGGCCTGCGGCAGGGCACGGTGAGGAGGTGGCTGCAGCTTCCCTGGCCTGGCCTCCGCTGGCTCCTTCCCCTTTCAAAACCTTCTGTGCAAGAGGGCCGGCAGCTTCCGACAGAGAGAGCCCCAAAGCCACAGGAAACCTCTAATAAGAGGCTGTTTAAATGCAGAGTTGAAGGCAAGGCCTAAGTCCTCTACTTATTTCCTAATCACTGTTATTTGCTGAGCCGCGCRGATCCAGCTGCCCAGACCTCACCCTTGGCAGATCCTCATGCGAGGAGCCCTCGTGCCGAGCTCCTGCGCGGCAGCACAAAGACCGGGAGCTCCCCGCCACGCTGGAGCCCTTGCCGGCCGCAGGGCTGGGGAACGGTGCCCGCAGGCGGCYGGGGGGCTCCTCTGTGGGACGCAGGGTGACAGCAGTACAGCCCTTAGGGCTGCTGCTCTGCCCAGCAGCAGCTGGGACAACCAAGGAGAGCTCGAGCACCTAGGCRGGTGGGCAGAATTGCCCCCATGGGGCAGTTGACATGTTGGGTTTCTTGTGGCGAAGGAGGAGGTGGCTCCGTCCCASTGCCTGAGCTGCTGAGCTGCCGCTGGAGTGCGGAGCTGGGGCCTCCTGCAGCCCCGTGGAGCTGCRCTCTGGCTGGGACAGCATCGGCACCGACCCACCCCCCTGCGAGCCCCCCCACCGGGGAGGTGTCCCCCAGCTCCCACACAGCGCGCCGGCAGGGACGGTACCTGGGACGCAGCCGCGCTGGCGCGGGGGTCAAAGATCCGCAGTTGCTTGTCCTGGTGAGATAAAAAGAAAACAGAGGGAGGTTAAAGACCCCAGGGCCAGCAGGATGTAAGGCCCCATGGTGGGGAGGGYTGCAGCGCCAGCTCCAACAACACCCTCCCCGTCCTGCCCCACGCTGCCTGCGGGGGTGCAGCGCCAGACCCACCGGGCCCCAGGCACCCCCAAAACTGCTCCCAGAAACTGGGGGGAACCTCCAACCTGAGCTGCAGCCCAGTCTCTTGGAACAGCAGCTGAATTTGAACTCCAAACTCATGGCTGTGAAGGGAGAGACTCATCCATGCTGCCTGCCTGCCCACCCCAAGATGTGAGGAGGAAAGGGAGGGCAGAGATGGTTAAGGAGACACCACTGAGGTCTGTGCATCCCCAGCTGGAGCTATATTGAACCTCATCTCAGATGGAGGAACTGCAGGTTCAYGGCCAGAAGTGCAACTGTGAGACAGGGGATGCTGTCAGAGGCTCCGAGGAAGCAGGACCCGGCAGCGTGAGCCAGCACCAATGTTGGCTCCCACTTGTTGCACTGAGATGTGGGACTCCAAGGAGCTGATGCTCTGGACTGTGAAGTCACCCTGGCRTCCACAGACCCTGCTGGCCTCGGTGTCACTGCTGCCTTGGGCCCTGAGCTTCTCCCTGCGGAACCAGGAGCCAGCTGCATTGCACCTCCCGAGCCGCAGAGCCAGCGGGGAGCTCCCGGCTGCTCTTTGCTCTGCAAGGCCAGCGCGGCTGCATCTGCCTCAGTTCCCCAAGACCCTTCCTGGCCTCCTACATTGCAGAGGGGGCCTGAGACGGGCACAGCCGCCTGCTCGGCGCTGAGCGGGGCGGCCGCGCTGCTCGCTCAGCCCGCGCGCCGGCGCCCACGAGCCAGCGGCGGGCAGCAGGCGCCACCTAGCGCGCCCACCCGCCTCGGCCCGCCACCCTCGGCAGCCCCAATTTCGCCATTTTCCACCCCAGAACAGGCACCGGTGCTGGCACCGCAGGAGTGAGCCCAGCCGGCGTGGCAGGGGCGCAGACAGCCCTGGCGCAGAGGGGCAGSCAGGTCCCGTGGCATCTCCAAAGGGCCTTGTGCACCTCTTCCCTGCATGTTTGGTCCCTTCCTTCAGCCCAGCAAAATAACCCATGGCCAAAAAGTACCCAGAGGGCCAGGAAGGGAGTAGGGTGAAGCTAGAGAGAAACCAGTGTCCTGTGCCCTACGGGCTTCTGCTTGCAAAGGGATGCGGGTGCCTCTCCAATAGGCYAGCAGGGACAACTCTCCATGCCAGACAGGTCTGCAGGCTGCAGCTGGGGCCCCTCCTGGCCCTGCACTCTCTCCAGGGGATTTACACCACCACTGGAAACATCTTGTGTGGAGGAAAGGAACCATCAGCAAATGCTCAAAAGATGCCATACAGGAGCCCAGAAAATATCCTCTTGGTCCCACGTGCACAGCAGCAGAGGGGGGAACCTCTGGGAGGGTCACCATGCGCAGCTAAGGACACGACTTGTGGACACCAGCTGGGTGCTGCCCCGAGCGCTGCCCTGCTCACCTTGCACGCGGTGCCCAGGAGGCGGCCGTCCTGCTTCCACGACAGGCTCTGCAGCTGGTCCCCGTGAGGCTCCAGGTCTGCGAGAGGAGAGCACAGTTAGGGCCTCCAGAGAGGCCTGAGCACCCGCTGTGGCTGTGCCCCCCAAGGACACAGCGGGGCCGTCCCACCCCAGCCCCAGTGCTCAGGGCAGAGGCTCTGAGCTAGCAAGGTTTGGCAGCAGGAGCTCTGTTTGCCACCACGCTGCCTATTTGTTTCCCATCTGAACACTTTGGTTTTGCAAACCGATGCACTTCTGCTCAAGAAAACCCTTGTGTAGGAAGTGGATTTCTCTTCTCCACACTGACTCCACATTTCTCACACAAGGAGCATGATATCACTGGCTTTTTTCTTGCATCGAGCTATTAAACTGAAAACCCCCAAACCATGATGGCACAGCTACACACATGGCCTTGATGAGACCTCTGTGCCCACACATCCCACATCTGCCCAGGGAACAGAGCCCTTCAGCGATGCCCTCAGTCTGACTCTTTTCCGCTAATGAGCCTTTCTATAAAAGCACTCCAGATTTCCAGRGAAATTCAGGGATTTTCAGAGTAACTTTGCCATGGAAACCCACCACCCTGCCCATGTGGGAGGCATACAGGAAGGAGCTGTTGCTTTTTTTCCCTCTGTTAAATACCAGAGGGCTTCCCAGGTGACCTGATGGGTTTTTTTCCTGAGCCTGGGCATCTGGGACTCAATGGGATGCTGTTGCATTTGTGCAGGGAGCATCCTGCTCTGTTGGCAGCTCAAATCATTGGGAAGGAGACCCTGAGCAGTCAATGGCAGCCACGTCCTCCCTCTCGCAGTGCTAGGGGATACCCGAGGGCAGGATCTGTCCCCGGCTGGGACCCCAGCAGAGCTGCTAGAGACGTACCAGGCAGCACAGGAGCTCGTGGGCTCTGCACCAGTCTGTGGGAGCCCCCACGCGCACAGAGGGGCTGTGTCACCTCCCGCTGTGCCCAAAGCTGCCTGCACTGGCCACCAAGTGACACCAAGGTCCAGACCAGCCCTTGAGCCTGTCGCTTGTGCTGGGCATGGGCACAGAGGAAGGGAAAGCCGTGCTGAGGGACCGGATACATCTGCACCTACCTGTCAGCGGCTGCTGCTGCGCCACATCCCAGACGGTGACTCGCGTCCCGGCGCCGCTGGCCAGCGCGCCGTCCGCTGTGGGGTGGAACTGCAGCAGGGCCACGGGGCAGCCCGCGGGCCCCAGCGTGAGCGCGGCGCTGGAGGGCAGGTCCTGGCCACTCCGGGGCAGCCGCCACAGCTTCACCTGTGGCCGGGAACAGAGCTCAGCGAGGGCAGGCGCTTCCCTTGCTGCACCCGCCCACCAGGCCCCAGTCCCCACTTCCCCACACCACCTGCTCCATCCTTCACCCTGGGGACTTCCCACACCTTCCTTCAAGGCTGGCACCCTCCAGCCCAGGCCCTTCTTTCCATCCCTCCAGACCCATTTTCCTGAAGAATCCCAATCTTTCTTCCAAAGAGCAACGAGCCACAAAGAGAAACACCAGGGTCCCCACGACTCCTCACATCTCCATGGTGTTAACCACTCACCATTTCATCGGCGGAGCCCGTGGCCAGCAGGAGCTGATCAAACGGCGAGAAGTCGAAGTCTGTCACCACATCTGGAAGGGAAGGGAGCAGAGGCTCATGGTGGCATCACCCTGCTCCCTGCAGGCAGCACACTCGCTCCTGCTTGGCTCTTCCTCACTCACAGGCCCTTTCAACACACACGCATCACCCTGCAGTGCCCGGCTCTGGAGCTCACGGGCATTTCAAAGCACACACACACAGTGCTGTTTGAGGCTGGCCGCTGGCTCGGGGCCTGGTGTCCCTTCATCTCCGTGGCCACATGGATGGGAACCCCGAGAGGCAGCTCTGCACAACTGCACTTCCCCATCTAAACTGCCACCACGCTTGTTCAGCTTTGTTTTCAAGAGCTTTGTTTCCTGTTGTGCATGGCAGGACATGGAGTGTACAGCAACACCCGCACGGTGCTTTGAGCAAGGTAGACCCAGATGCCCTGAGCTTGTATGCCACTCTGGAAGACACACAACCCAACAACTTTCCACATTGTTTTATGAATTGACTGCAACAATCGCATTTCGTTGACAGCAAARGGCCCAAAATGAGTGGCTCGAACTGCAGCACAAGCTCCGACTTTCTGTTCCCTTTTCTACCTGTGCCGGGACAGCGCACTGATGAAGGAGTGCAAGGGCAATGGCCACGGAGCCTCACGCCTCCGGTCCGCAGCGCTGGCAGCCAAGGCTGGGCTGAACGGGGCAGCCGAACCCTTACCAGGGTGTTTGTGCCGCCCGTGGAGGCGCGGGGCCCGCGAGGGCCGTGCTGGTAACAAGGCCGCCTTTGTGGCGCCCGGCGCGGCGGCAGCACGGAGCCGCTCGGCAGCRCTGGCCGCGGGGCCCCGGGGAGCCAGGCTGCCGCGGCATTAGCAGCCCCTCTGCTGCATTTGGCACACCAGGAAAGTAGGTCACCGTGTACTTTTCCGCTTCTGCGTGGCTGCCGAGATACAAGCCCACGAGGCATGAAAAGAAAGCCGTGCACTCCAGCTTCCAACTTATCGGCTCCGTTTGCCCGGGAGGAGAGGAAAAAATCCTCCCCTGCTTGGAACAGAGAAGGGAGGCGTTTATCAGGCATAGCCACCTCCAAGGGCTTGCACCGAAAGCTCATTCGCGGTGCTACCCGTGTGCATCCTGTGCTGCCTCCTCATCCATCCTCTGGAGCACTTCTCTGGGGGCACGGGGAACGTGGTGCCACGGGGCACCTGCCCAGGGGCAGGACACAGAGATACAAAGCTGTGGCTGTCCAAGAGCTCCTGAGCATCTAAAATTGCCCCCCAGCCAACAAAAAGATCCGCTTCCTGAAACCTCTCCCTGGATTCCCACCTGCGCTCAGCATCTCCATGCCAGCTGTAGCCAYGGTCCTTCAGGAGAGTCCTGGGCAGGGTGCCTCTCAGCACAGCCTGCAGSGACCTGCCTTGGCCGTGCGGGTGATGCGGGAAGGGCCATGGTTTGGGAACACCCTGGGCAGGATCCCAGCAGRCTGTGCAGGGAAAGGGCAACCCTTGGGAGGGACCTGGCATCACCGGGAGCCCGGGGCAGCTGGCAAGTTTAAAGCCTCCTTGTCTAAGTGGCAGCTTGGCTGCCCTCCCCAGTGCAGMAGGGCACTCAGGGCCGCTGACCGGGGCGCGTCTTACCCTGCCAGGGCAGGGCTCAYGCATTCCTAGCTTTCAAAGTGGCAAGTGGCGTAGGAGGAGAGCCAGTGGGAGGCAAATGCCAGCGCCTCCGACGGCAGCCGGGCTGCAGGCATCAGCWAAACCACTGGCGGTGCCACATCTGGATGCTGCTTGCTCAGCAGCCAACATCTGCCCTGGCCCTGCCCAGGCGGGCACCGGCTTTGTCTGCCTCCATTACCAAGCGAGTTTGGTAACTGGCACAGCAGGCAGCGCCACCAAGGTTCCCTGGGCACCAAGGTGCCGCCGCATTCATCGGATCTCCGCGGAGCAGGCGCCCTTGTGCAGGCTGCTCAGGTGAACGTGGGGCTAGAGTTACGTATACAGGCCCTTCTCTCGCTCGCTTGTGCTGCTCATGTTTTGTGCCGGGAGCTCTGGGAGACGTGTTGCAACGAGCAGCACGGGAAGGAGACGCAAAAGAGCCCGAGCTCTCCAAGATGTTGACAGCTCCCCCTCTGCAGCTCCCTAGAGGAAGGGATTGGGACCAGTTCAGCTCCTCAGTGCCAGCTGAGCCCTCACCACCATGCACATTCACTGTGGCCAGCTGTCAGGCAGCTCCCAAACCTCCTGCTAAGCAGCACCTCAGCTCCCTGAGCTGCCCWGACTTCTCACATGGGCAATGTCTGAGCACCTTATTCTGCCGCAGGGAGCTGGCGCATCAAGAGGGGCATCCATGTGCATGGCATGGGTGGCAGCTCTTGGCTCCATTGCTCCAAATTCAGCAGGGGTTGCACAGAAGAGACACATGTCAGGGTCCCTGGGGACTCTACCAGTTCACTCAGCTTCTAGTTTGGGAAAAATACAACCTGGCACAGCGATGGCTGAGTCATAGCCGAAAATCAGCACCTGAATCATTCTACACTGCCTGAGCTGGGCCGGATGCCTCCTGTGGAGGTGGGACGTAGAGCTCCTGGGTGCCCCTTGGTGCACGGGGCTGCACAGACATGGAACAAGCCGGAATAGGCCTGTCAGATACTCGGCTCACCTGAGTGGCAGTAGAGCTGGGACACCGTCCTCTTATCTCCGTCCTGCCCCTCCAGCGGCACGATGCCCAGCACACCTGCAGGAGACACCCCCGAGCAGGTCACTCGCTGCCCTCCAGCTGCGCAGCACTGGGGCTGCTCAGAGCCTGCGAGCGCCCAACACGGGAGAGCAAGAGCTCCCAGAAAGTCCCCGCCGGRGAACTGCAGTGTCAGCATCAGGGACAAACACACCTGGGGGCTGCACGCGCAGCCTTCCCAACGCGCACCCCGTGCCCRCTCCCTCGCACCCTACCTGTCGTGTCGGCACTGAAGGCGATCCAGCGGCTGCTGGCCTTCACGTGGTTCCCACAGGATGCGGTGGAGCCGGCTCGCACATCCCCAATCCAGGCCTACGATCGAAGGGAGGGAAGGGGAAAAGGTCCACATCAAGAGATGGTCACAAGTGGGAAAACAACAGAGCAGTGACACCGGTTTGCAAGTGCACTCAGGCCCAACAGAGCTCCCTTGATGAGGACCTGCAGCTACCAGAGCTCTCCAACAGCACTGTGGCCCTGCTGAGGGCAACYGCAGAGGAACCAGCACCAAAATCCTACCCGAAAGCAAGTTTCTGACCCACTCTGTGGGTGACCATGATGACTCCTGTGCAGGTGACGCAGACAGGTCACTTCAGGCACTCCCCAGCCTGTGGGGCCAGGAGCTCCCGGCGCTCCCGGGGCTAAGTCCAACMCTGCAGCGAAGGCGACAGGGCCTTTCCCGGGTGCCGCTGCACCCGTGCGCCCGCTGGCGGCCCCAGCATCACCCCCAGCAAGACCAGCTCTCCACAGGTGGGGACACCCCCTGACCCAGGCACACTTTGCGYACAGGGTTGTTGGGCACCCAGCAGGATTGGGACCCGACAGTCTTTTTAGGGCCTGGGTTTTCCAGCCTCGCTTCTTCCCTCATCCTCATCACACCAGCCTTTTTTGGTGTTGAAGCTGTTAACCCTTCCCTGATCAAAGGGAGGCTCCTCTCTCTGGGGATGCTGTGGGGCAGGAGCACAAGCAAACCCCACCACACATGAGCACCAAGGCAGACAGGGTGCTGAGCCCCGGCCTCCATCACTGCCAGGCTGCCTCCCTCCCAGGCAGCCCTCCACAAAGGAGGGAGCTCCTGGTCCTCAGAGCCCTGTCCCTCCATTATCTCCATTATCTAATGTGGAAGAGGATGGGAGTTTTGGTGGCTCCAGGGCTGTCACAGAGGTACTCACACAGAGATGCCCTAGGGGTAGGAGCAAAGCGGTCCCATCTCAAGGGGAGTCAGTGCTGCCCCAGCAGCACCAGCTGTGCAGCCTGCGCCGCACAGCCCCACACGTGGCGTGGGCCCGCGCCCCACGGGGTGCCCTGCTCCTCATGGCACCAACTGCTCGCCTCGCCGCCTGCGCCTGGCACACACCGAAGCCGCTTCCCCGCGGGCCACCAGCCATGCCGCCATCTGCGGCGCCCCGCAGGCAGGATGAGGCTCCTCCATCCGTCTCTAGTGCCGGTTCCTTCCTCGCTTCCTGTCCCAGTTGATCCCATCCCACAGGCCCAGCCCAGGCAGCCTGTGTGGCAGAGCAGAGGCCGCGGGCACCCAGCTTGGGCAGCACCCACAGGGATGGAACTGCTTGCACGGCGCCTGTACCCGGTGTACGCTGTGCCTGACCCAGTATCACTTCCTCTCATGCACTAAATCAGCAGCAAAGGGCCACGGGGCAGCGCCAGAGCAGGGGTGCTGATGCCGAGCACGACTCTGTGGGCCAGGATGGGGCAGCGGAGGCTCCTGGGGCGGGTGGCAGCGCCGGCAGGTGGGTGCTCACACCATTGCTGTGGCCGGTGCTGCATGCAGGGGTGCAGAGCGCTGCGCGTTGCAGCGGAGCAGCGGGCGCCTGCCGCAGGGCCCCGCGGTGCTTCCTCTTCGCGGTGCGGAAGCGGCTCCACGGGCAGGCAACGGCCCCACAGCTGCGCGGCGAGCGAGGCCGCTCAGGAAGCGGGCGCCGCGCGGGCGGCACGAGGGAGCCCGCGGCGGAGCCTGCTGCCCAGGTGCGGC